CACGAAGCAACACTAGACCACCCATAGGAAGCCGGCTAATAAAGAAGCATAAGAGCTATATACAACCCATTTTGTTTAAGTTGATGAAGAATTGATAGTTAAATTTTATCACACCAATATAAGTATGCCTAACATTTCCAATAAGCATAGACTTACTTATTTAAATATATTATCAGCTAGGATAAACAAGGGTGTGGGCCAAACCTGGGTCTCCCATTGTCAAGAGTGACAATTGGTCACAAGGAAGATGTAAATTATAAAAAAGGCCAGGCTTCTCATGTTACATTCATAGTGGGATTGTCGATTAAACAAACTTCTATTTTATGAGGTGTATTCATTCTATTTCCTTTAGAGTGATTATAAGTTGTAGTGGTAGTGGTGGTTAGAGTGGTAGGTAAATTAACCCACAATGATATGAGTATACATGAAGTTTCCATTGAATTTCACATAGCCTTGCTTTCCCAAAAGTTGTTCTCATTCAGGGTGGACCGCAGTCTCAACCTCGCCTAGGTCCTATCAACGCCCCCAGCAGGAGTCAAACCGTGACAGTGTAGCGTGTGAGCTTGACTCATAATCACACAGTCACATTGCCACGAGTCCCCTTAGGTCACTAATTGGTTAACGCGTCAAGCTCACATGTTGCACTGTCACAGTTCGACTCCTGCTGGTAGTGTTGATAAGACCTAGGTGAGGACGAAACTATAGTCCACCCTGGATAAGAACAACTTTTGGGAAAGCAAGGTTATGTGAAATTCCATGGAAACGTCAGTTATACTCATATCATTGTGGGAAAATTCTAATATCAGTCCTCCATGACCTTAAACGAAATGGGGTGAATACATCTCATATAAACGATTAACTGGTAGGCTCGAAACTCTGCTTATATACAAAATAAAGCAATTGAAGTGCCTAAATCCTTTCGAAATAGATCAATGCTAAATTAATAAAAGATGTATTCTCTCTATAAGGTTTGAGTTGATAGTTAAATTTTCCCACAATTATATAAGTAGGCCTAATGCTTCATAAAAGGTAATCTCGTCCATGGTATATGACATTTTCGGCCCCGCCCCCATTCCTTCATCAGCTCAGACGAAATAGGATGAATACAGCTTTTATATAAAATCTACGGGTAGTCTCGAAAACCCATTTATAAACGGAAACCTGAATGAATTGCTCTAAGTGGCCAGTTGAGCGGAATAATTTATGCTCAAAAATGTGCAGGACAAATGATGCTTATTACCGTAAAGGAATGCATTTTATTAGTCTCCACCATGATGCAGCTTGATGCTCATTATTTGAAAAATAATAAACAACCAAAACATTTTTCTAAAGAAAGGCACTAAAAGAGAAATATGCTTCTGATTTTGAGCTGGCCTTAAGAACTATGTGCTTTTAAGTTCAATATAGAGCATCTGAAGTCACCTTGAAATGAGTTAATTACAATAGCTTTATCTGGGATATGCGTGAAGAATAACATTAATCTAAAAAATTCTGGATTGGAATTCAAGTAAAAATATCAAAATTTTCAATTTGGTATTATAAGAAATATAGGAAAAATATAAATATTAATGAATGGACTTCTAGGAAAAATTAATGAGAAACGAAGATCTCGCTTAGAAAACCAATTAAAAGGTGAGGGAATATGATTATGTTGGTGAATTTAACATAAACATGGAAGCAAGTTCAGTAATGTCGAAAAAATTAGTCTATCAACAAATTTATGGAGATCTGAATAAGAACTTTTGATCCTTGTGACAAGCATACCTTTAAAGAATCCCTCAAAGCCTTCTTTCTTCGCCCCCTCGACCGGTTTCATGACGATTCCGGTTACCCCATTGTACAGCCCCTAAATAAGATAAAATAACAGTAATAATCAGACAAAAGCATAAAATTTAAAATAAATTGCAGAAGGAAAAGCTTCAAGATAGCTATTTATAAAGCCCTTTCAAATGTAATTATAAATATTTGCTTCAAAAGCGATTCTTTGAAAAAAGGAAGTAGGTTTACAGGTAGTGATTGCCAATCAAAATGATTGAGTGCCAACGGAGAGCCATGAGATATGAGGCATGCTATCTATGATATATGCAACAACGTATTTGGTATTTCGAGTGTCCTACAGAGAAATTTAAGCAATAAAGGAAAATTGAGTGATATATCAGAACAGCTACCATAGTCATGATAATTGCTAGTCGGAACGTTGGCTTAGAATATTCCCATATATCCTAGCTGTGTGGTAGATAAATCAGAGGTAACATTTGAAGCATTAAGCTATAAGTAAAATGACAAGTGAATTCAATCCTCTCAGGCAATTTTTTGTTCAACGATTGTGGAACTTCTCCTTCCCCTCATGTCCAACTTCCAGACTATGAAACCTAGTCCCTTCCTGGAATTTCCGAGTATGTGGACCTTCAAATAAGTTTATTGAGAAGTAATCAGCTTCAAGACCAGTTTTGCATGTCGCCCGCAGTACCTGAGATGCCAAATAATATTTCATCCAGCAAATCAACTCCCCATATTTTCGTCAGCTGTTGCCCACTGTCCTAGCTGGTTAGTTCTAGGATTTATTCACATAAATGACCTCTAACGTGTACAAAAGTCTCCCAGATATCTCATTTTTAGCCTATAATGTAATATCTATCGCTTCTTTTATCGATTTATGATAGAAGTATACATTCGCCTTACTTGGATGAGCTATCAGCCCATCAACAGTTTGTCAAACCTAATCCTGATGTTCCACTTGGCTCAGTACCGCACATGTACATCAGCTATCATGCATGATATCATGTCAAACCCCTATCATTAAACCCTTGTACTGAGAGCTAACTGAGGTTATGATCTGAACTTTCGCTGCAGTATTAAATGATAACCAATTAAGATGGCTGTGGCCACTCATACATATCCTGGTTTTCACTGTTCTAAAGTTGATCCTTGATTAAACTCGTCACTGCAAGCACAATCATTCGACTTCCATTTGTTCCACAAGTTCCTCTGCCTGACAATGCCTCTTCCTAGTATCCGCTAGATATTATCGATTAAAGTTATTCTTTTTCGCTGACCTTATCTAATCCAAATATGCCCGAGTTAGCTCAAGCCCCAAGCGGAATCCTCTCAGACTCTGCCTTCTTTCGCCACCGTGCTACTTAATTTTATTGGAAGAAGGATGTTAACGACTTCTCCCCTCCCAATGTGTTCGTGCAGGCACAAGCGAATAAGGGTGAGAGAAGTGAGCCCACAGCGAGATGATAGATGTGGTCATGGAACGTGAAATAAGTCATACTAATTGTAGGATTTATCAGTGGAGTTAAAGAGGAGGAAAGGGAGGAATATAGTCTAGCATGAATTTGAGAAGAAACGCTAGGATACGTCAAAAAATAAAAAGATTGAGAATGATTATGTTAGAAAGCGATTATTAAAATACGGAACACATCAGACTTATCCGTTCATAATATATAATAATAGAATGGAAGTGAATAGGTAAATATACAAAGGGTAGATGGCACATTTTAACCCATAAAAGCATAATTAACCATAAAAAGGCCGCGACCGCCTTGAGCCAGACCAGCACCAAGAGTGTCAGGCCGTCTGGCAAGTTGTTCGCGACGCTTGCGCATATAATCATCGTCCAGCGTTAGAGCTGCAATGCCCTTGCCTAAAGTACCGGTGATCCGCGAAACGGCTCCAGCAGCACCGCCTGTAAAGAGGTTGAGGATAAATAAAAGAGTAAATGTTCGCATGGATGTCCTGGCGCGAAGAGGGATCAAGATGAATGGTGAACATAAAAAAGCAAAAGAACAAAGGAAAACAAGTCTCATATATCTCTGGTTAAAGTATTTAATTCGATATCTGCCACCCTATCTGTGCTAATCGAGACGTTATTTCTAAATTTTTATTACTCAAGTCTACAAATTCCTATGCCCTATCTCTTGTGTTCCAACCCACAAATCTTATTGTTCTACTTTATTTAATTAGGCCTACTAAAGACGTATCCTCTTGGCTTCTGATTGCTCCTTTCTGGTTTCCTTCCGATTTCTTTTCCTAAAAT